GTGCGCTGGGGGCCCACCCTCCGGGAGCCACCAGGCAGGAAGGTAGCCAGCCGGAAGACTGGCGCTCCCCACCTGAGGCTCCCTGTGCGCCATGAAGGATATATTTCTTAAAAAGTAAAATATTGTGGGACTTGAATTCTAAGCTAGGGAATCTATTATCGCTGCAGTGTACTTTCTTTTTTAAAAGATAAGTGCCTTGGTTTAGTTTGGTTCATGTTTCGAGATGGCTGAGAACATTTTTGCTACAGACAAAAGAGCCATTTTAAATGTATCAATTCCTTTAAGGAATATTAAAGGAAGACTTGAAGGAACTGGATGATTATTTGCAGAGATCAAGTGTCAGAATTTTGATATTGCTGAAAAAGTAAAAGAGAACATGGTTGTATTTTTTGGGTGAAAGTGAATTGGCAGGATGCCAGATGTGGGAGAAGCCGGTTCCAGAAGGAGTTACAGCCAAAAGCAAGTGGCCTTCAGCATAATTTGGAATAAATGGCATCGTTATTGAATGGCTAACATATGGCCCAAACTTAATGTGAGAAATAAACAAATTATACAGGATGAAAGTGTGATATAGGGGAAAGAGTGCCTGGTGATGGTCATGTTTCTGTATATTTGGTCACTTAAGCGAGATATTTGACAATTAACTAAAGCCATTATCAATACGCAGTATCAGCATTTGTTTAACTGAAGTGTGTAAATGCAAAACTAATCCTTTAAGAAATTTCTAGAAAGCATACATGTTTACAACACATGGAAAACCCACAAAACTTAACGTTGAAACCATCTACCTTTGAATCTAATTAAAGGTGTCTTCTTTTGGGCAGTATATAAAGTATGGTACACTTTGAAAGAATATGTGTATTTGCTAGGACCTGCATAAAATGACCCTGGCAGAATACAAAAGAAGCCAGTAATCTTGGTTTGCCTCAAGGACATAGGACTGGAGAAAATTTTCTCCATATACCTTTTTTGTTTTCAACACTGGGGATTGAATCTAGGGCCTTCACACTGAACCACATTCCCAACCAACTCCTCTTTTTTGAGGCAGGATCTCCCTAAGTTGATAAATTGCCAGGCTGAGCCAGAACTTGTGATCCTCCTGCCTCAGCCTCCCAGAGTGCTGGGATACAGGTTTGGACCACCAGATATGGTATATATATATATATATATATATATATATATAAAATATACTACATATATAAGATTTACCTATTCTGAGTTGTCCTACTATAAACATGAGTATACGTGTAGCATTGTAATATGATGTCTTTAACTCTTTTGGGGAGATTCCTAGAAGGGAAATAGCTGGGTCAAAGAGAATTTCTAGCTTTAATTTTTGAAGGAATCTCCATAGTGATTTCCATAATGGTTGCTCTAGTTTACAGTCCCACCAACAATGTAGAAGGGCTCCTTTTTCATCACAACCTCTCCAGCATTGTTATTATTTGATTCCTTGATTATAGCCGCTCTTTCTGTGTAAGAAGGAAACTCAGTGTTGTTTTAATTTACACTTCTGTAATGGCCAGAGGTGTTGAACACTTTTCCACGTATTTATTGGTCATTGGTACTTCTTCTGAAAAGTGTCTATGCATTTCAGTTGACCACTGCTTGACTGGGCCTTCCCCTTTATATTTTTAATTTGACTCTTGTTAGTTACATAGTCCAGTAAATAGTTAAATCTAATGACTTCAAATGAAATAGTTATCTTTGACATAGTTTCTAGAGGTTTAAAGTTCACCTCATTAATAAGTAAGCCCACTGACACCCTACATTCAGGTAGCTAAAATAATGATCCTTCTGCAGCACATTACTCCCAAACTTTCGTATGACTCAGAATCACATGGGGGCTTGCTACAAACAGAACGCTGGGCCTTACCCCCCAGATTTTCTGAATGAGTCTGAGTCAGAACTGAAGAATTTTCCTACCAAACAGATTCCCAAATAGTAATGCTGCCATCAGTCTGTGGCCCAAAATTGAAGAAGCACTGCTTTACCAGTAAAGACTCACAGGGGCTCTAAGGCTGGAATGCTGGGATACCACTAACTGGAAATAAAAATGCCCAATGAGCCAGAAATTATCAGGCTACAGAAAACATAAGCAAAATTTTTACATATCTAAAATGTAACTGTCTCTGAAGATAACATCTTAATGAATTATTTCATACAGTCTTCTAGGAGATGAGTAAATCAACACCATGCCAGCACTGTGCTATATATTATAAATAATATAATCACATAAAAAATGCTGCCCTGCCATCAAGAAACTTTGGATTAAGTTGAAAAAAGTAAATCTCTTTTTCAGAGATGATCCACTTACATGCTTATCAGATACTCAGTTACATAGGAGGTAGAACTCAAAGAGTTTTGTGACAAGTTGTAGTATTCCTTGTAGTGATTTCTATTAACTTTTACTCAGACTCAGTCAATGCCTAGTGAATAGGAAACAATTTGAAATTTTCATACTGTAAATTGATAGCACATAACTGTTGATGTGAGTTTAAAGATGAGCCTTATTGCTAGGGTTGTACAAATTTAATTTCTCTCATACAACTTCACCTGAAACTGAGTATCATTATAACTACCCAAGCTTGACATTTTAAA